AAAAATTGCTTTTCAAAATCGAATAATCATCACGTGGTTCACAAAAGTTACAAAGACGAAATGTATAAGATTCACGAAAATTATTTTTAGACTAGGATGTCGCTTAATGATTGAAAATGCTAATATTTTATTTTTCATTCTATGAAAAATAATAAAATATTACTAGGTCTTTTTTTATTACGAAATATCGAGAGAAACGATGAAAATAGAAATGTTATGCGACAGAGGAAGGTACACGTCGTGCGAACAAATGCAAAGCAACATCGGAACAACAGAGCGGAATGGAGCGTGGAAAGCGATTATTTTTCTTGGGCGAAGATGATTCTTTGGCTGCACGCAGCTGCGTGCGCCAAACGCGGATTCATCGCGCAGACATTTCGCCGTACACCCACGATTAACTATTTTAGATTTTGGCTAGATATTAGCCCTATTCGAAAGGTCGTAGTAGTAATTACAGACTGCATTTCTCGCCCACGTGTAACTGTTTTCGATTCAAACTCACCCTCGTTCATCGCGCCAAGATATACCTACTGTTACAATTAGGGCGGTAGTTCGATCTTATATTCAAGATCTGGTTAAAGATCTGATTAAAATTCTTAAAATGATTAAAATCTTGAAATTCCATTTATTTAATGAAATAACCGTATGTAGCGTCTAAAGATCATATTTAAGATGATCTATATAATTGAACTATATGAATACCGGCATTAACCTTGCACTAGACAATTCGCGATAGTATTTTGACTTTGTCAAAAGGATCGCTCCTCTGACGAATTGGCACGAATGGTGAACAACGAATGCAAATTTGAATATTTCCATTCGCATCATTCACAAATCTCATATGAATAGCTAATTGCAATTTTTATAACTGTCTCGAATCGCAAATCGCGCATAATCTAGCGCAAGCTTTATCAATGACACGTTAAATCCACTACGCGTTGCGGACTCGGATTAGATTTGGACTGCGAATATCGTTGATCAATCTGATTCGCTGATCAATGATTTGCAGTCTAAATCTAATCCGCAATGCGTATAGGGCAACACGAGCTTTAGACGCGATAATTGTAACGATATATCTTAAGATAATAATGATTCGAATTTTTTTTATTTAAGTTTATTGAAAAATTATTAATGACATTTATTAATCCTTAGTACACATGGTTAAGTCGTATCCTCTTATTGTTAGACACGATTGGGTCATTCGTGTCACACCTGTAGTTATAATATTTATATAAAATTTTTTTTAATTCATGGCGTTACAAATTTTTAAAAATACTTTAAAGTATCATTTTAAGAATCATTTAACAATTTTTCTTATTCTTATAAACATGCTGAAAATTAACAGACACGAATGACTCGTGTAATAAACGACTAGAAAATCATTATGTACTAGGACAATTAAACTGAATTGTATAGTGATAATATTTCAGAAATAAAAATCTAATTGAGACATGAATCTGTGATAAATGGAACATAATTGATTGTTACAATATACAATAAAAATAAATAAATAAATTTATTCGATATAAAAGTCGAATATTTTGATATAAATAATTACGTTAACAAATTGTGATATCTGGTTGAAGATTTGAAGTAATGTATTCCTAAGAGTGAATTAATTCAAGACGTGCTCGAGACATAGCTCTTTAAAAAATCCTTTTTATAATCTAAATATAATTTAAATACAATTTGCGTATATACATAATACACGCAATCAGATTATCGAATTTTACTCCTCTTTAGATATGAATTTAGATATAACCGCTTCGATTCGAGAAGAGTTTCGAGAGACTTGAAAGCACCCGTTGTCATTTTCATGAGAAAGATTTCATTTGCAGACTGATTCCGTAATTAAACTGTTCCGTTGCCAAGTTTAAATACAACATGATTAAAGGCATACGTTCCCAGCTTATAGAGGATAGAAAACAAGCGGCGATAGAGTCTAGGACAAACATTTCGCAAATATAAGCGACATCTTCGTCTTAACTGACATTTCGCCTTTTTCGAAGGTCACACTATAATGCATATATTTCGATAAGGCATGAAAATGCCTACTCTTATTATCCGATAAAGATAATAAGAGGGACACAGACAAGCATAGCTTTTTTAGCGATAAATTTTCAGAATAAAAATTAGCAATAGCGAAATTTTCGTTTTTTATCGATTTTTTTCTTTCAATGAATTCCACAACAAAGAATATATTTGAAGCGGAAATTAAACGATTATTATATATACGTTACATGTGGAGGTATATATTAATTATGTTCTTATTTAATATAATTAAATGTTATACATTTAACCGAGTATATTTATCGCGCTAAATTTTGCGCGATCTGAACTAATCCTTGAATATCGCGGACCGCGCAAAATATACGCGGGATGCATAAGAAATAGCGATAGTGTTTATATTATGTTTAATGTAATGGCGTGTGTCATATACATTGAGGTTTATAGAGAGATAACGAAAGATGACTCAGAGAAACAAAATTTGTAACGGTGCCACCGACACCGACGATATATATGTCGTATATACATATATGTATATAATATACAAAGATCAGTGTACAAAAGTGTTTGATGACAGTAAGATAGTACTATCTTGGGTAGACTAAACGATAATACGAGAAGCAGGTATAGAAGAGGCGGTAACTTAAGATGCTAGATATAGCTTCTAAAAATTTTACATGCACACACATTATTGTACAATATTTCTAAAGCGATCGTTTGTGCTCATACTTTACGTATCGATTACATTAATCGGGAAGTATCACGTGATTGAATTGTTCTGAAAATAATAGCCTGTTAATGTAACGATATTTATGGAAAATAATCACGGATGGAAGCGTAAGCTATTCGAACGATATAATAGCACTGACAATGAATGTAGTCGTTTCCATTTATTTCCTTTATGAACATTCAATTATAAAGCGACTGAAAGGCAAATCAGCTTGTTTATTTTATATTTAAAATTCCTCATCCGTAATATTTCTGTAAGTATTGTAAGAGTGCTGTAATTATTATGATACTGATTACAATATTTTTTGATAGTTTAAAAAAATGATATTTGAAAAGAATTTTATAGAGATAATTGCCTTTCCTAAATCTTGATTAACATTACAAGTCCAGTATCTTATTTTTTGCAAATCTACTCAATAATGTTGTAATTAATCTATTGTAATAATTACAGGATTATAACGTGGATTGACGAGGAGCTTTAAATGTGAAATAAACAAGCTGACTTGCTTTTCAATCGCTTTGCAACCTGAATATGTTTACGAAGGAAATAAATGTTCGCTTCTTTCTAAGAATATAGCTCTCCATTTATGAGGAACATATACTTTTTTCTCGTAACACACAACGCGACGATTCGACGTGGAAAATTTTTTTTTTGCCTTGCAGATTGCGTGGTGTAAATCAGGGAGGATGTTATTTGCCGTTTCGTTGCGAATCGTCTTCGAAAATGGCTCGAACGCGCTCGTCGGCGTAGGTAGGCCGCAAAACGAGTGGTCGTGTTACACGTAACGCATAAACGGTCAGAAATAGAAATAATGTGTTATCAGCAAATACATCGGGCTATCGCATTCCTTCGTCCTCTTGAGGACGAAGGTCCCCTCGGCCATACGGCGCGGTGCGGCGCGGCGGCGCGGCTATATTTCCATCGATACAGCACATCATTCGCGCGTGTGCACGTAAGGCTTTTAAGCGACGCGGTATTAAATTACAAATTCCGCAAATGTATCGCGCGACAATACGCGCTTTATCAATGGATAGCTTATTTATTCAGCGCTTTGTCGTACGATATTATTTATTTGCCGAACGAAAGAGTTATACGAGTGTTGCTTCAATCGCGAACGCTTCGTGCTGCAGGCGGATCGTAGACTGCAATAATTGTAAACGTTTTCCCACGTGTCTCCGCGTTTTTCTCGCTGAAGATCAACGATGACGTACGGTGTCGCCATGAGCATTGCGTCCATTGCGATTTGATTTATTAAGTAACGGGCGGATATTATTCGGAAATGCCCTCGGAAATGCTTTAATACTCGGGTGCGGGAGGAGTCAATGTTTTACAAATAGATCTTAGAGCGCGTGCAGAAACGTTAGGAGGGTGGCTCATGTCCAAAATTGGCCCGTCGTGGGCTTCACGCCGCCGCAGTATTGAATTTCACGCAATATTTTTCCAACTCGAAAATCTCAACCGTCGAGCCCCGAGGCTTTTTTATCGATCCCGATCAAATGCTGCCACGCGCTTTACTCCGCGATTTTCGAATAATTTTAATCTCCCGCGAACTTCGCGTTCCTTCCGAACGATTTATTTTCGCCTGTCTCTCCTTAAATTCGTCTCGATCGTAATCGTGAATGTGTAATTTATTATATATCGTGTAATTTTTCATATCGCGAAAATTGTTGCTGCTAGAAAGATGCGGATAGCATGGAATTAAGCTAGAGATTGATTTGGCGTGCGACGGATTATGGAGATTTTAATCTAATACAATGTGAACAATTATTTTTTTTAATTAAAAAATTATGCGAGACTTCCTTCTGGTACCTGGATTTTACTGCTGTTATGTTTCTTAAAAGAGTGAGACACGTGTTGCACGTAAAGACGATGTTTTTAACAAGAGCGTGCGTTATTTTACAAATTACAGAAAGATATCGAAAGATTGTCCGAAAATCATTGCGGAGAACGATAGAAAGCGTGGCTTAAGAACCAGGACAGAAGATATATATAGCGGGAGGGATCGGGGTCGCTACTAAAATATACACTAAGCAGTATAGCGGGGAAATTCAATCCCCCGTTTTAAATGATTATTTCCTCATGGTACATTATGTGTTCGTGTAAAAGTTAGGTAAATCAGTTTGGCCAAACTGCCCTTCGATTGCCTTGCGATTATTTATATGATTTTTGCGTTAAAATTGTAACATTAACTTTCATCTTGCTCAACGTTAATCTGCGATTTTTGCGAACGCAAATTTATTAATCCTTTTTTTCATGTCTTCAGACATTCACAGCTTGGTGCAACTCGCATCTACGTAAAGCAGGCACTGCCATCGAATCGATCGAAGACGATTTCAGGAATGGGTTGAAACTGATGTTGCTGCTTGAGGTGATCTCAGGCGAGACCCTTCCAAGGCCCGACAGAGGCAAAATGAGATTCCACAAGATCGCCAATGTGAACAAGGCTCTTGATTATATCGCCAGTAAGGGCGTCAAGCTGGTTTCAATTGGCGCGGAAGGTATGTTTTTTTCCTCTTGAAGTTCTTTACGTAATCATTGAGTAAAAGTGTAGCATACTAAATTATGTAAAATATATATATTTTTTTTATATCGATAACATATCTTATAAAAATCAAAGTTTGTTAGATTTTTAGTTTTGGTCGCGTCATACTTTTGTACCTTTTTAATGTAAAAATATAATGCAAAATTAATATAATTTATATTATCTTGTACGCTCTTTAAGGATCGATAACTTTTTGACAGAAATTGTTGACGGCAATCTAAAGATGACTTTGGGAATGATATGGACCATTATCTTGAGATTCGCGATCCAGGATATCTCCGTGGAGGAGATGACCGCGAAGGAAGGACTGTTGCTTTGGTGCCAACGCAAGACGGCGCCATACAAGAACGTCAACGTGCAAAACTTCCATCTATCCTTCAAGGACGGCCTCGCGTTCTGCGCTCTTATTCATCGTCATCGGCCCGATTTGATCGATTACAACAAACTCAGCAAGGATAACCCACTGGAGAACTTGAACACTGCCTTCGATGTCGCTGAAAAGTATCTCGACATTCCTCGCATGTTAGATCCCGATGGTAAGTATCAGTTCGAAATTAAAAACGTCCGAATACTAATTGCGATAGACATCTTAGGAATATGGGACACACGTTCGTCATTTTGGTTAATAGGATCTATCAGAGAGGAGGATTACATCGAATCGCCAAGATTATTATATTTTTGTCTTTTGCTGTATAGGATAGAACTATGATTGGATTTTTTCGATTTTATCAAAGTGACATTTGCAAACACTTAATGTTCATATGTTCCCTTGATATCATGTAGATTTGATCAACACTCCTAAGCCGGATGAGCGAGCTATCATGACGTACGTGTCCTGCTACTACCACGCGTTCCAAGGTGCCCAGCAGGTCAGCGTTAAAAAAAAAATGAGTGTTGCTCTCCCCTGTTCCTGCCCGTCCGTTGTTAAAAGCGACCTGTTCTATCCTTCGTTAACGCGAATTATAATTAAATAAATTGTACGCTAACCGTTAATGACGTCTGAACCTGCTAATCGAACACCTTGCTGTTGTCTTAATTTAATTACTTCACCAGAGGACCGAAACAAACTGCGCATTGTGTGTTCCATAATACTTTTTAATTATAAATAAGGTTACAATCGAATTTTCTATTATCTTTGAGAGCATAGTTTATGCAAAGGACGCATTTTCATATGTATGAAATATAATATTGTGAGAGAATTATATAATAAATTACTAATAGCCGGATTTGTTTACTGTTAAAATTAATTAAATTTTTAACGGCAAGTTATGCTAACAACGCATGGTTTGAGTTTCTTCGAATGTGTTTTTCTAGATATGCGAAATACGGCAATGCCTGATGAGAGGGCCGTGATGACCTATGTTTCTTCATACTACCACTGTTTTAGCGGTGCTCAAAAGGTGTGTGTATTGCAATTCGAATTAACCTATAACAAACGTATCGAGTATTTGCGCGAGCGCATTGTTGAAATATGTTACAACATAACATTTTAACTCGCGCAGTGAAAAAATTCAGATTCAAGCTAATATATATCTCTAGTTTCTTATTTACATTTTTAGAATGGCTATTCACAATTGCATGCGTCTTGCTCAGAGGAAGTAAACTGTATATGTTTCAAATGTACAAGCATAATCTGAAAATTTTTTGTAAGGGAGAAATACGCTTTTTCTTATTGTAGGCAGAGACAGCGGCTAACAGAATCTGTAAGGTACTAAAGGTGAACCAAGAGAACGAGCGTCTCATGGAGGAATACGAACGCTTGGCTTCCGATTTGCTCGAATGGATACGACGAACGCTACCGTGGCTCGCGAATCGGCAGACCGACAATTCCCTCGCCGGTTGTCAGAAGAAGCTGGAGGAGTACAGGACGTATCGGCGCAAGCATAAGCCGCCGCGTGTCGAGCAGAAAGCTAAGCTGGAAACGAATTTCAATACCCTTCAGACGAAGCTGAGGCTGAGCAACAGACCGGCGTACATGCCCACGGAAGGGAAAATGGTGTCCGACATAAATAAAGCGTGGAGAAGTGAGTTTTTCTTTTCAGAATTCCTCGTACATTTTTTTAATATCTTTTTCGGGTAAAACAAGGATATGTTAAAAATCACTTTTAGATCTGGAGTTGGCCGAGAAGACGTTCGAGGACTGGTTGTTGTCCGAGATGATGCGTCTGGAGCGACTGGAACATCTGGCGCAAAAATTCAAGCACAAGGCAGACGCTCACGAGGATTGGACCGCCGGAAAGGAAGAGATGCTCACGTCCCAGCACTTCCGACAGTGCAAACTAAACGAGCTCAAGGCCCTGAAGAAAAAGCACGAGGCTTTCGAGTCAGACCTCGCTGCTCATCAGGATCGCGTAGAGCAGATCGCGGCTATCGCTCAAGAACTTAAGTAATTTCAAGATTTTGACTAAATTGATGAATTGATTTCTTGGATGATTCTTGATCTTAATCGTTATAACATTTGCATTCTATTGTTACAGCACCCTTGAGTATCACGACAGCGCATCCGTGAATGCCAGATGCCAACGCATTTGCGATCAGTGGGATCGCTTGGGTACGCTCACCCAACGTAGACGTCAAGCTCTCGACGAAGCCGAGAAAATCCTGGAGAAGATAGACGTCTTACATCTGGAGTTTGCCAAGCGCGCTGCTGTGAGCACTTGATTTATATATAATTTGATTTGTCAGCTCTTTTTTTTCTTTTTACACGGGCGTAACGTCGCGTGATTTTCAGCCATTCAACAATTGGTTAGATGGAACCAGAGAAGATCTAGTGGACATGTTTATCGTCCACACGATGGAAGAGATCCAAGGTCTGATGGACGCGCATGCCGCGTTCAAGGCTACGCTGGGCGAAGCAGATAAGGAGTACAATTCAATTGTGGGATTGGTGCGCGAAGTCGAATCCATAGTCAAGCAATACCAGATCCCTGGCGGCCTAGAGAATCCTTACACCGCTCTCACTGCAATGGCATGTTGAAGACATAAATTATTAATGTACTTATAATATACATAGATTGATCTTAAATTAATCAATATTTTCTGTTCTATAGGATCTTACTAAGAAATGGAGCGACGTCAGACAATTAGTCCCTCAACGCGATGGTACCTTGGCCGCGGAACTTCGCAAACAACAAAGTATCCTTGCTTTGTGATTATTTGATTGATTATTTAATTTTTTTCTGATATTTATTCGTAAAGCAAATTTTATGCTAAGTTAGTAATTTATATTACAACTTAATGAACATTTTTTTCAATGATTAAATGAACTTGAAACACATTTCCTGAATTGTGAAAATAGATAATGAATTGCTCAGACGACAATTCGCCGAAAAAGCCAATGTCGTCGGACCATGGATAGAACGTCAGTTGGATGCCGTAACTGCGATTGGTCTCGGTCTGCAGGTGATACATCTATACTTTAAATTAAATAGAAAATCTCGTTTATATTCAATATTACTATGTATAATTATATATAATTATTGTAGTTATATATTTCATGGGTTTTTGAACGTTGCGTTTATACTTTAGGGAACTCTCGAAGATCAGTTACATCGTCTGAAAGAATATGAACAGGCGGTATATCAATACAAGGCTCATCTTGAGGAATTGGAGAAGATCCACCAAGCAGTTCAAGAAGGTATGATCTTCGAGAACCGCTACACTCAGTATACCATGGAGACGCTGCGTGTCGGTTGGGAACAACTTCTGACCTCGATCAATCGCAACGTTAACGAAGTCGAAAATCAAATTCTCACCAGAGATTCGAAGGAATTTTTAAATTACTCAAATAATCATATATCTATATGTACTTTATTCTAAAGGAATGTTAGGGAAGTTATAAGCTTGAAGTGAGCAGTGAGAGGGGAGTAACATTTTTATACCTTTACCTCCGCCCGAGCGAGAGAATATTTGTCAGGCAAGCATAGCGGGCAAAGTGGGGAGAGCGCCATTGGCCGTTCGCAAACAGTACAACGCTGTGGAGAGGAGGGCTTTCCAAGCTCTCCTTTTTGTGAAGAAAAGACTTACGCGCGAAACGAGTTTTCGTTCGATTTGTGGATATTCTCTCGTTAGGCAGAGTGTAGACTACGTACAGGGCTGTTGTCAATCTCAAATATTGGTGTTTGAAAGGAACATTGTATAAATTTTTGAGGAATCATGAATGTAATTGCAAAGACTATGATTGCTTATTTATCCAGAAGTGTCAAATATAAACTTATATTTTTTTAAATAAATTGTTAATTGAAAACATGATTTGACGAATAAAAGCTAAATGCAATTAATTGTGATCATCGATTACAACCACCGATGATTAGCATCAGTTTTTCATATGAAATATCATGTTTATTGATAAATCAAGTTTTGCTAAACAAAAAACATAGGCATTTAGAAGAGAATTTCATGTGGGATGTAAAAATGTCACAATATAAATTAAAAACTTCGCGTATTGCAATATTTGCATACATTGTCAAGTTAGATGTTTCAGATGACGAAAATATTTAGTTTTATTTTTACTATTATTGTATATATTTTTTACTATTATAAAACTATATTTTTACAAATTAAACTATTAAATTGATCTTTATTATGTTCTATTAAAAATTATTTAAAAAGTGATAAAATGGCTTAAATTTTTGACTTATTTTTAATATATTATAATATTTTTTATATATATATTAACGTAAATTTATCCAGATTTAAACATTTTTAATAGTCATTTTTGTCATTCTAAAAATTAACATATAAATCGCCAACTACAGCCCGTTATAAAATTCTGAAATTTGTCATAAATTTTCTGAAAAATTAATCAGTGAAAAAAAATCTAAAAAAATGCATATTATTTGTAAATTTTTTAAATATTTGTAATTGGGTTTTTGTTTGGAATTCTTTATGCAAGTTGTTAACATTTTTTATTTTTCTTTTTGTTTTAAAAACAAACGCAAATACGTTCTATTTCAGGGCATTACCCAGGAGCAGTTGAATGAATTCCGCAGCAGTTTCAATCATTTCGACAAGAACAGGACGGGCAGATTGGCACCGGACGAGTTTAAATCTTGTCTTGTGTCTCTGGGATATTCTATCGGCAAGGACAGACAGGGTGACATCGACTTCCAACGAATTCTGGCTATCGTCGATCCCAACAATTCAGGCTATGTGCAATTTGACGCTTTCCTCGATTTCATGACACGCGAGTCCACCGATACTGACACGGCGGAACAGGTCATCGACAGTTTCCGCATTCTCGCTGGTGACAAGGTAAGAATATTCGAATTTTGAATATTTTAAAATAAAAATTGCATGTTGTACGATCGGATCTAAACCGTAAATTCTTGTTACTTTCAGCCTTACATCTTGCCGGATGAATTGAGGAGAGAATTACCACCGGATCAGGCGGAATATTGCATTCAGCGGATGCCTCCATACAAAGGACCGAGCGCAGTGCCTGGAGCATTGGATTATCGCTCCTTCTCGACAGCTCTATACGGCGAATCTGATCTATAGATGAACGTAATAATACAAAAATCGATATTATTCGAAATAATATCGAGAAGAGATGAAAAAAAAACGGATCGGGATACTTGTCAATTGGCAAGTGAACAACGCCTAAAAAAATTTCTCCTACTATTTTAGTACTTTAATGCATCAACGTATTTTCATGTGGCGATACGTTTTACGAAAATGGAACTCTATGTGAGAGAGTACAATACGTACAATAATATGTTATTACGCTAAATACTAATAATTGTACGTGCGCATATATACTCGAGGTTATCGGAACGTTCGGGGTTAGTGAAGAAAGCGGGTGATGTCATTTTAACGTAAAGGGATCTAAGTCTGTCACAAAATAGGTATTAACTAAGAATATCTTCCACATGAATGGAAATCACATATCAAATATACGTACAGGGAAAGAAGATTTACGTAACTTATATAAGTCTCTTGACGCGACAATAATGAATATCAAATATATTTGGATACCTTTCGTTAAAAGGATAAGAAACGTAGATATAAACACGAAGTTCGAAATTAATGTACTCTTCAAGAACGTTTTGCTACATGCTTACTCTTCTATTCTCTTACATAGTCCACACTAAAATGAGACAAGAATTGAATTTTACTCTTTTTTTCTTCTTTTTGGAAGGACGGTAAGTGCCAATGATAGATAAGATCTTCTACGATTCCTCTTTTCAAAAGGAAAGGAATTGCATCTTGAGCCATACTTGAGACTTATGTAATGAACTAGCAATTATGGCAAAAAGGAGAAGCTCACATAATTGGATGAATGTATAGTTGGTGAGTGCATTGATACTAGAGGCTCTCCGAATTATTACTAGAATAATACTACTGAATATTTATTCTAAAGTCTTAATATCCTACACTTTATATATGATTATACAATGAAAGAGATATACATATATTTTTAGACTTGCAATTTTTGCCATTGTAGCGTGACATGAATTTAGTGTTTTTGGATTAAATTTTTCTGAATTTTTCGAATCTTATATCATTGTATCTTCATTATACATATGTATTTATAATTGTATTATGTGTTTGTCGATATAATTTAAACGTATAAAAATTGTCAAATTTTCGTCGCGTATCGAGTGCACATTCTATAAAGCCATAGATCAATGTTCGCACAAACATAAGAAATAAGAGAAACCGCTAAGGTATTAAAATCCAGAAGAGTAATAATAACGAGTCTTTGCGAGTCTTAACGATATATAAATCGACTTTCTCGCTAAGTATCCAGAAAACGTACGCTCGAAATCGAATAATGTCCATATTTTTTTAATAAGCGCGGCATTACGAATCCTTAAACGACAAGCCGTCGCCTTATATACTTTGTAAATCGTATATTAAAGATATCGCGAAACGAATATGCTAAACGAAGCAAATTATTTATTTATTTGACTTTAATAATTATTTATTGTATCGCTCCGATATATATGTATCTATTTTACGGTAGTGAACGAAACACTTTTCTCAAAGTATATTTATTTTTATAAATATCCGTGCGAAGAGGACGATAAGGCGCTAATTGTAATATAGAGTCCATCGTGTAAATCTCCAAATCTCCAGCAGCTACCATTTCTTGTATCACATTTTTAATACGTAGCCTTATCTATCAAAAAGTGAAGTCAGAATCATCATTATTGTTCGAATCGTTGTGAAAAGTCAATCTCTCGATAAAAATGCTCGTGTGTGAAATAGCAATTACTTTTATCGGCGAAAGTATACTGTAAGTTTCTTTCTTTTTTTTTCTTCCTCTTCGTTTCGCTTGTTGCGGCTTTAATGCGCTTTTCAATGTCTATCTTAACGCGTTTTTCTTGAGAGTTCACTTAATTTCTCATTCCTTTTTATTTCTTTTCTTTTTTCTCTCGGAGTATACTATATATTGGGCACACGGAGAGACGAGTAATATACGAAAAATATACGCCAAAGCAGAAAGTTGACTGCTGGAACAGTATACATGTAAAACGCAAATAGACGATACACGCACTTTTTCACATACATATACGTACACATGCGTAAGAGGAAAGCATACGTATTATACGCCAAAAAGAAAAGCGTATCATTTGAAATATATACGTCTATGTGGGTGTATGTGTGTGTGTGTATTATATATATGTATATATAATACACACACACATACACACTCACACTCACACATACATACATATATTTAATGCATCGCGATATCAAACGAATATTCAAAAGTGAAGTTTGAATGTTCAAAAAGTTCATGTCTTCGAATATCTTGTTACTGAACAATTGTCAAATATTGTCATACAAATACGAATACATTCTCATTTATATGTAGCATACACGTACAATTGTAATTATTATTTTATGAAACAATATTTATGAAATTGCGACAATTCGACGAAAATCTCGCTGAAACACGATTGTCTTGCGCTGCATTACATTTATCAGCTACTACTGCGTACTGTTTTGCCCATTTCATCTTCCTAAACTAGATTAATAACAAATAACATTGTGAAACGCAAAAATATCGGGGAAAATAAAGAAATCTTTAAAAAAAGTATATATTGGTGCGTCTGTGAAATTCCGTTTGTACCTTCCTGTACAAAGAAAAAAAAAATACATAATTTAATTGTAACATGTTATATTTTAACGTAACTCGAAACTTTGGTGCATACTTTATCACATTCTTTGGTTAATATTACATGTGTTAACTGATTTGTCCGATTTGATTTCTGTCAAATCTTATTTCCTATAGTTCCTACTACTTCCGAAGTTAAGTAACATTTATTAGATAATAACATTACTTCCTCATAATTTACGGTGAACAAACTAGAAGACATTTCTTACTTTTTAGTGAATATAGCTTGGCAATAAATTCTCAATAAATACGTGTACTACTTTCTCCGTTATTCGCATCCTTTCCGCATCATTCAGTTTGTGTGTATTATTTGTTCATTTTATAGCAGCCTTGGCCGTTTCTACTATAGCAAGAGCATTCATCGCTGCTTCTACATGAGCTTTCGAGGCCTCGCCAAGAATCTGCATAATATTTAAAAAAATTACAATATAAGTATGTCGTACGACTTATAAAAATTATGTCAATTTCGATTCTAGTCTCCAGGATTTTTCTCTTATAAATATCGATATGCTTCTGTGCAATGCATTCAAACTGCTCCCTTGATAAATCAAGCTGTTCAGTAGATTTTCTTTCTTACAGGATTTAGTACAATTTTATACAAATACACACAAAGATATAGACTTCTTTCTGGGCTCATCTTAAAGATAAATTATGTGGCTATTTTTTAAGAAATCGTGACTTTATTTAAAAATTGCCGATTAAAACATCATTTTATTGAAAATTGTTAAAATTTGTTTAATTAAAATGTATTAATTAAAATGGTATAAATGTTATTGGACGATGTATGAAGTTTAATACGCACCGCGCGCAAAGCGTTATTTTTTTTGAAAATTTATTTTTTATCAAAAATTGTTAACATTTGTTTAATTAAAATGTAAATTGGTATAAATGTTATTGGATGTATGGGGTTCAATACGCAGCGCGCGCGAAGCGCGCGCCTGTTATGTACTAGTTGTTATAAAAATCGGATTGTATTTTATTTATTTTTACAAATTTAAATCCGAGTAAAAGCATTGTTGAAAACGTTTTAAAAAATTTATAATCGTTATTAATAATTTATAATCTTATATGAGCATATAAAAAAAGAATTCTTTTATGTTATAATAGATCGGAGAGTATCTACTTACAATATTGATATGTATTTCGGAAAGAGAAATAATATTAAATTATAAAAATAATAATCTAATTATAATATAAAAGAATCATAATTTTTTAAGAAAGAAAATTGAGTCTTATCCGAGAAAAATGATAGTAAAATCATTTTTACAACAGAATAATTATTTAATTCAATTTATTCTTATCAAAATCAAAATAAGATATGTAAGATATATTATTTATAAAGAAATGTCTGTATATTTATTATATATTTAGCAAAAAATTATGTAAAACATTAAAAAATTATTTTTTAAATAAAATTTTTATATATTTATTTTTTAGGAAATATACGATAAATACATGTTTGTGTGGTTAAACAATGCTTTTATTTCACGTATAAAAATCTTCGATACACACAGATCCGGTGTACAGATCTCGACACATCGATGAGAGTCAAGTAAGGTTTATCGTGTATTTTTTCATCAAATGGACTTATCAAATAAGGACTTAATCATGAAAATTTACAGATAAGTTAGCGCCAGTCACGCGAAATTAAAGTACACTTATCTTACACGCTACTTACAATACTATTAATATTTACACAAAGAGACTTTAACGATAATATCACCGCTCTGCATTTTCGCTCGATTATATGGCTATTGCACGGTTGTACAATAAGTAGACAAAATACATTTTCATCAAAATGTTTGCCCAAAAATAGCCTGCTTTATAATCAACGACCGTAAGTGAATCAATTTTTTTTTATAGAAAGGCCACTAAAGGTTTTATAAAAGTAAAAAAAAATCCTAAAAAGTTTTGACGAAAACTGTTAAGATGAAAATTGTATTAATATATATTATGTATTAGAATGTAATATTACTTCAGAAAAAAAATATTTTTGTGAAAAATAAAGAAGGAACGGGTGGCCTTTTTTCATTAATATCAATTCAAGTCTCCTCGAACGAATAATTCAGTTATTTCACGCTTGTTTCCTAACATCATTACTTATAATGAACTATAATTCTATATATTGTAGTAATTTTGATGATTATTTTTGTTGAATGCTCATTTATCATCATGTATAATGATAGCAAAGTTTGTGACTTTATAAGTATCTAATACCATTTCGATAATTTCTAATAATATTCTAATAAATATCATTTTAAAGTAATACCATTTCGGACTATCGTGTGTGAAAAGAGGGTGAATTAAAATATAATTTTTATAGAAATTTATTTTGCAAGGTTAAGAATTCCTCTTTCCTATTTTAAGTCAAGCAATCTGAGTTCGTCTTACGAAACATCGCAATCGATAATTTTAATCACTCGACAGTCACATATATTCTTGAAGATCATATCTCATATATGACGGAAATAAATAAAAAAGTGTATTAATTTAAATACAATAAGGAATTATCTACGTAAATGCGAAGTACTTAAGCATAAAGTTAACATGTTCAAGTTCTATACTACCCAAACAGGTACAAGAAATATAAAATCGAGGTTCACATGCACCAACATTTTAAATTAATCTTAATTGAATGCTTTTATACTGTCTTTTTTCGGATTGTAGTCTCGCGTAATAAATATAAAGGAGATTTACTAAATTCCAGTAAATTTTTATAGGAGATATTGGTACAATCGCGAGTCTAAAATAATTTAACTTCTTCGTATTAAACTGTCGAGTGATTAAAAGTAAAGCCTCGATCAGTCCTTGCAACCGAGACCGGCGGACCAATTACAGATACCGCCGACCGGATCAAAGGACAGTTTGTCGGGGCAGGTATACTCGGTTCCGATCGCCTGGCCGTTCACCATACGGGCGCAAGTGATAAACTTCTTGCACGAGTACGGATGTGGAAAGTTGCCCTGATCCAGGCAACGTATGGTACCCTTACTCGTGAGGAAGAGTTTGCTGTTGAGGACGGACTTGCCGATGACAATCGGCACCTCATCCTCATAATAATCATAGTCGATCACTGGCGGTCTTCTGGGCCTCGTGGTCGCGTTCACCGTAGGCCTGTCTTTCGTCCGGAATTTCTGGCGGCTTCGAAAGTTCGCATCATATCTCGAAACCGTCCTACTGGTCGTAAGATAGTCAGTTCTAGGTGATATGGTGGTGCTTATCTTGCGCCAATCGGCGTCCCTTAACGGCGTTTGACCTAGTCGTGGAACCTGATTAGTTTTTATCACTCGGACATTACTGGAAGGGCAAGCGAATCACTGATTCCCATAGTGAGAGAACGCGACGAAGTGAAAGGAGCGAGATTCATTAGTAAGACATCAATCAATGACAGATGATGAAAGCCAATGGCTGCACAGAAACTGAAAGACGAAGAGACGAATGTCTCGATAACCTTGTCAGGAATATCATGAGCACGTGTGTAAAATCGCACTACCAAATCTGCCGATTTAAAATGAGAACGAAAGTACCAAGATATGTAGAAATAGTTATTCCTGAGAAGGTTGATCCCTTAATCAGCTAACCATTTAAATCCTCTCATCGGCTGAAGGATTCATGCCATGTACTGTCCAGTCTGTAGTGGCATAAATTCAACGATTAGTGATTAATTTGCTTAGTAAAGCCAAATTGTGAATAAACATGGCCGTAAGAGAGAGAGAGAGAAAGAGACGAGAGTGATGGTGCGTTACAATTGCATTAGTATGTAAACAGCTGACATTGATTAAAACAACTGTCAAAGAAAACCGCGTACAAATCGCGGAATTGCGTAATCGAAAAAAGAATAGCGAGAGAAGACAGATGCTGATAGAAGCAAAAATCATAAGAAAAATATGCGTGAAATGAATGAATTATTCGATTAGATGAGGACGTTATCGCGAAGAATCCTTTTAAGAAGACTATTTTTTGAGCGATTAGCGGCATACGATTTGGCATAAATTGAGGAACAAATTCCAGGATAGAGAATTAGAGTCGTCGTTATAAACAGTTATAAAAAAATGGCCCCGAAATGAAGAAGCGGGCCGCGCGGTAGTCTTGATGAAATAAATCAATTGTCGTTAGGTGAAAAACGCATAGCTATCTGATGTAATCCGTGAAGAGAATAAAGTATTTGATGATATGGACTTCAGATTAGAAGAATTAGATAGTCGGATGGCGTGGTTTCTAACAAATATAATGTACCAATATCCGCGGACGACGAGGATGGCGGGTCCGATAGCGTCACCGCGAATTCTTGGGCGCGGATGCTTTGATCAGACACGTCTGCATTTTGATCATGCAAAACGGCGGCCGGTTTGACATAGGATTCGGTGCTCTCGAACGTGTCTGAAAAAAGAAATTATTCGAAAGAGAGATAAAAATTAAAATCAAACAAAAAAATTAAATTATTCTTAAAAAATAAGAACTAGCACAAAGTAAACAAATATTTTTTGAAATTGAACCTACCGACGAAATCTACCCTCGATGACAAAGTGGTCTGAACTGGTCTACCTCTTCGATGAACAGTATTCGATAAGGTGTTGGTTAGCGGAGCGATCGTTGTGAACGGCGTCGGTTTCCTGTGTCTATTTGAATATCCGCTTCCTGGATTGCGATTAACTGATCCACTGTTTGTTACCTGTTTGAAATACATTGATTTATATATACGATTTATGTATACGACAAAAAATGCAAACCGATAATATTACATTATTCAGTTACTAATGCACATATATGTATGTGTATACGCGCATTTTCGGCAAAGCAAAGCATATATAATATATTCATTAAGACAAAGAAAATCTAGAGAGTTTAGAAATTATTATCTCAGACAACACAAACATCTATAGAAGATTTTAAAACGCAAAAAATTTTTTAAGTGTATCTTTTATATTTAAAAGACTTTATATCTTTTTTATATGAGTACTTTATGCATCTTTTAAATAAATTTTATGCATCTTATGCAAAACGCTTCTTCATTTTTAAATCATTTTTTAGATATCTTTATATATTATATAGTATAAAAGATTTTTTAATCTTTCAGTCACTTTTTTTAAAAAACCTAAAGAATCTCTTAATTTTTTAAATAATTTTTAAATTCTAAATTATTTTGAATTTTTGTGTTGTTTGAGATATTTGAGATGTTTCACATGTTAAGATATTAATTATTTACCGTTAACAAACGTTGATAATAACTTATGAAGAGTAAAATAGACATTTCGCAGAAACGCGCCTTTTGGAAAGAGATTTGTTAATTTGTAATGCCAGGAAGAAGTAGCAGCAACTAAAGATATTTCTTGGTCTGTTTGCGTCCCAGAATGTTTGTTCAGAGAGAAAGATTAAGTTTCCAAATTGATGTTCCAGCTTCTATCCAAGAAGTATGTAGATAAGAGTTTTTAAAATAGTTTTAATAGTTGAGAAAAAAAGAACGTCTTCATAGGCGAACAATGTATCTTAGAAATGTGATGATGATGATGATGTAGCAACGTAAAAGATGATAATGTAGCTCCAGTTTTGTTTCAAAAAATACTTTAGTTAGATCCAGCGAGAGGCGATGACCTTTGGCGAGAAATCTTTCCCCAACAGGTATTCAAGAAAAGCCATTAAGTTATGATTGATTACAATCAGTTCCTTCCGAATTAGTCGTTTGTATCGTGTCATTATATTGTTGATTGATTATATTATATTGATTAGACGTCAAAAAATGTGCCGATTATGATCAGTAATTGAACGAATGGTTATTAAGCGGTTGAAAATAATCTTTGTGGCACTGCGGCTTTGCATTCGTCTGTAAAGTCTTTCCAAGAAGTATACCGAGCGATTAGGCATCAAAAGCAGAGTCAGAAGAGAAGATTATATATATATATATGTTGAATAAGTGGTATCTTCAGATAAAAAAATCAGGCGATTTTTTTTAAGCTAAGATATTAAGCCGATGATGTTTTTACGATCTCTCTGCGAGAGAATTGTGCCAATCATGCTTCGAGAGTTTTTAGTTAGCGTCAAGAAGAGCCGGTACTCTCATAGTAAGTCAGTTCTACTAGGATTCTTCATTAGTCTTTTGCAGCGTTTCGTTCTTTCATTTCCGTTTTGGTTAGGGCAACATGCGATCGATCAAGAAAGTACAATATGTGTTATCAAGGCAAAGTGGATCTTCGACTTAAAGCTGCACTGACCTCGAGCGAGGGTCGATCAGTGTCCTCGACCGGAACAGACGTCCCCATCTGCGGCTCCGTGACTTCCGGCTGTTCGGTCATCGCCTTCTCTTCCTCGGATTTAGAATGCTTCATCGTTTTTTCCTTACCGGAAAGGTTATCGCCCACACGAAGATTACTTGAAAAGTGGAACTTGTAAAGTACTTGTTGAGAATCGTTTCTGATAAAATCGGAATCTAGATTTGTTTCTTCAGCTACTGAGTCTGTTTCCTTGGACTCAGGTTTGACGCTCTTCAGTTTAACTTCCATTCCTTTTCGTACCTCTTCTTCATTGGAAAGACTTTCGTTCATATGAAAGTTATTTGAAAAATTATCCTGAAAATCTTTATTGATAAAGTCAGAATCTACATTTGTCTTTTCAACTGTTGAATTCTTTTTCTCGGACTTAGGTTTAATGCTTTTCAATACAACTCTCATTCTTCTTCTAGTCCCATGTTCCCTTTGAAAATTTTTATTAATAGAATCAGTATCTATACTCGTTTCTTCAACTGTTGAATTTCTTTTCTCAGGTTTGACACTTTTCAATACAACTCTCATTCTTCTTCTAGTCCCATGTTCGATGGGAAGATTTTTATCTCTGTGAAAATTATTAGAAAAAGTGCTTTGAAAATTTTTATTAATAGAATCAGAATCTACACTCGTTTCTTTAACTGTTGAATTTCTTTTCTCAGACTTAGGTTTGACGCTCTTTAATACAACTCTCATTCTTCTTCTAGTTCTATATTCATCGGGAAAATTTTTAGCGCTGTAAAAATTATTTGAAAAAGTGCCTTGAAGACTTTCATTGATAGAATCATATTCTGTACTGGCTTCTTCAGTCTTTGACTCCTCTTTTTCGGATTTAGAGTTTATTCTCTTTAATACAACTCTTGTTTTTCTTCTTGTTTTTTCCTCATTGGAAAAGTTTTGACTTATGTTAAAATTATTTAAAAGATTATTTTGAAGATTTTTATAGATAGGATCAGGATTCATATAAGTTTCTTCAATTGTGGAATTCTTTTCCTCAGATTTAGGCCTGATATTTTTCAATATAATTCTCATTCTTCTTCTTGCAATTCTTTTGTCGGAAGAATTCTTACTTGCGTAAGAACTTTTCGGAAAATTGTCTTGCTGATTTGTATTAATAGAATCAGATTCTACACTCATTTCTTCGATTGGGTGTTTTTCCTCCGATTTAGGTCTCGCGTTGTTTAATACAACTTTCATTATTTTTCTCGGATTTTCTAGTTCAGAAAAATTCACGGCTACATGAAGATTACTTTGAGTATTACCTGGAAGACTTTCATTAGTAGAACTAGAGTTGATACTGGTTTCTTTCGTTGTGAAACTTTCTTGAGGATGTTTTATCTGTTTCAATTCAGCTTTTTGTTGTTCACCGATATTTTCATTCTCATGGTGAGCTTGAAATGTTTCATTCTGAGTAGCGGTAGATGATTGAAGTAACATAGTCGTTTTTTCCTCGACTTTTTCTGTCGAATTTACAGCTTTCCTTCTTATTATATTTTCCACTGGATCATATACATGATCTTTAGTAGTATTTTGAACGTCGATAGTTTCTTGATCGGCCCTGATAGTGCTATTAAACGCTTTAGAGTTAACTCTGATTCTCTTCTGCATAATTCTTCTTCTATGATTCTTCTCAATCATTTTCGAAGACGAAATATAAGCAGGAGGTCTTCGTGATTGTCCGCGATACGACGTAACCTGATGTCGAGGATTTTGATCGGTTTTTTGCAATGTTGCAAGACTTCCATGCCAATTCTTCGTTCGATTTAGGACGCGACGTCTAGCGGTTTTTTGACTGGATTGATAATTGGTTGTGTTGAGTTTCGAAATCGTTTGATTTTGTGATTTTTGGCTTTCTGCAGCCTTTGAAATAACTTTCTCAGATATTACCTTTATTTTTGGAGTTGTAAACTCGTCAATCATTGTTTCTGTAAAAATCGGCTTATTAATAGTCGTAGCTGTTTGATATTTAATTTGATTTTGTATTTTCGTTGACGTAGTTTCCTTGAAATCTGTCTTCTGTTCTGGAATTAAAGACTTTTCATTTATCGTTTGTATAGAATCTGGTTTATAAGTGTTTGTAATTGTTTGATTTGTGGAGTTTGTCGCAATCGATTCGCCGGAAGTCGCAAAAGGCATCATGGAAGTTGTAGATTTTTCTAAAGCTACAGTTGCTTTAGTAATTGATGTTGCAATTGAATAAAAGGGAGTTGAGGGAGTTTGAGTAATTATTGGTATCGAGTTTTCATTGACCTCTTGGGTTGACAATGCAGCTGTTACAAAGGATGCTTCGAAATTCGTATTAAAAAGAGGAAATGCGGTTGCTGCCGAGGTAAATGTTGGAGGGTTTTCGAACGTCATGGGAATTTTAGTAGACTCTACAGTTGCAGTATCGACTAATATCTCGGAATTGCTGCCAATATCAAGATTACTTGAATTTGCGAGAAATATCGTAGAAGAATCAGTTGTTAAAGTTGTGGAACCAGCTGAATTCATTAAAGGTACGACTATATTTGTAACAGGAGACTGAATCGTAGTTGGCGGGATCTCGCTAGTTGCAGAAATAGAGGGAATATTTGTATTAGCAGACGTTGTTACGTTAAGATCAATAATCGTTGGAGTAATGACACTAAGAGGTGTAGTCGTAGTTATATCTGCCGTTACGGTATTTGCATCTGCGAGATTACGCATGCTCATGGGCTCAGTTGCACGTATATGTTGCGTGTTCACAGTTGAAGAAATAATTGTTGTTGCGCCAGTTGTAGTGACGGGAATTGTTGTAGTATTCTTAATTACTGTAGTAGTGAATGTGGAATAATTTCTATTCATGGAAGATGTTTCAATTTCAGCATTCGCAGCTGTGTTCAAGATTGTAGAATTAGTTACAATGTCGTACGTACTTATAGTTGTTGGAATTGGGATTGTAGAATAATTTGCAATTGTAGAAGTAGCGCCAATGTTAGCATTCGTAATTTCTATTGTAGTCATATTTGCAGAATCAGTTGCAATCTCCTGTGCATTAGCAGTTATTGGTACCGTGATTATAGAATTTATCGTAGATGTAATTTCGACTTCTGTATTTGCTACAGTAGATTTAATTACAGGATCAGTTGCAATTGTCGGCGTAATTTGTGGAACTATATTTACATTTGTAGAAGTAATTTCAGTTTCAGTGCTTGCTGCAAATGCAATCGTAGTTGGAGGATCAGTCAAAAATGCATTTGTATTCTCGATCATTGGATTATCAGTTACGGAATAATTCAGAGCAGTTTCTCCAACACTTGTAGTTGCGGATGTAGTAATTGTAGCGTCAGTTGCAACTGCGGGTGCTTTTGCAACCGCAACCGATGGTGTCAAAATAGATGCATTTACGACTGCATGAACCGCTGTAGTTGTAGAATCATCCGAGGACGTTGAAATGTCAGTAGTTGTAAGATCATTTGTCGTCGAAATAATTTTTAAGATTGAAGGTGTCGTTGTAATTGAGTTTATTGAAATTGCTGCTTCAGATGCATGGTTTTCCGAATCTTCGATTTTCGAGTCGTTAGAATTCGTAAAATTATTGTAAATATTTAAAATTTCAGAAGATGCGGAACTATTGGACACCATTAAAGGAACCGTTGGCATTGTTGAAGTCGCGGAAAGTTTGCGCCTTCTTGAAATCACGTTCGAAGCAGCCTTAGAAGTTAGAAAAGTGCTTCTTAGGGTGCTTGTCGCGGCGTGAATAGAATCGCTCTCAATTTGTCTTATAGCGTCTTTAATTGGCGAAACAGTAGTCCTATTTCTTTTTTTTACCACTATACGTCTGCCCGTCCACAACGGAGTGGTGGCTTCGTTGTATTTGCTTACAGTCAGGGCGATTTTTCGTCTTGTCGGTGTTGTCGGGGATGCGACATATAAGTTAGAAAGAGGCGTCGTATGATCAAAGTTATGCAGCGATTTTCTTCTTTTAAACGCTGACTCAAATATGCTATCGACAGGAACCGTAATTAAGTTAGGTTTTTTGTGATTTGAAAGATTTTCAGCATTTGAGAAAATCACTGAAGAACTGGGCGTGGAATACCTCTCTTCACGATTAACGATGCCTTTGTCATTAATGATATCATTCATTTTGTCATCGGGAATATTGGGTCTCGATTCGATTTGATCATTATAAGCGATAGTGATGGCTTTATCGATCGTAGAAATGTCGGGAATTAAAGTAGTTTCTGTCTGCTGTTCAACGGAAGTGTCAGTCGTGTAAAATGGCGTAGAACTATCCGCTAATATTGGTGATGGTACATCATCATTCTCGCTTCTGGTGACATAAAATCCACGAATTACCGGACTGGAAATCAAACTAGCGAGAGGAATACCGCGCATTGTCGTCGGCTTCAAATAGAGTGAGGTCGTAGACATCTTTTGTTTATTCTTATCTCCCCGAATAGTGTTTGTGACTGAAATTCGTTCATCAAAGACGTCTTCTTTTCTTGGAGCATGAGATCTTGCTTTGTTCTCCGAGGCTTGTTGTAGCAATAAGTCGCCGGTTTCTTCGATTATGCCTCTTGATGACTGAACGATCTCTTTTTCGCCATCTCGTAATTCGTCTGTTCCTGTTAATGATTCTTCGACGTTCTGCCGGCTAATGTCGTTGTCCACGTCGTTACGCAGCAAGTACAAGAATACGGACGACAACGTCGTGGCGGTATGATCATCGTAGTAAGTCGTCGGATAGCCGATTAATTCCTTCAGGGTTGGCAACCTGATAGTTTCCGAATCGGCGACCTGAAAATCAGAACAAGCAGCGCGCTTTAATGCGGAGATCCCCACAGACCTCTCTCTTTCTCTTTGCCGTCTCCTTCTGTAGTTTGTTTCTTTGCAGTCTCCTTCTTTCTGTCTTTCTGTCTGTGTGTGTGAGCTGCGCCAGTCTTGGAAAAGAAAAGAAGGAACATGAAGAGAGGGACTCTCGAGTTATCTAATATTGAAGCGCCGCGAACGTGTCTTGCTTGCTGCGTTAATTTGGATTGATAAGGAATCATCTTGGGTCATCGATAGCGTTTAATGATAATTGTATTTGTGGTAAGTAGAAGGTAGAAGTACATCATCAAGACAGTTATCAGAGGTTTCGGTCAAGGGTTCCTCTGAGTAAGCGGATGAAAAAAGTGCTCGTTATGATTCAGTCATTATTGATAATGTGAGAATGATGCGTGAAGACGATTATTCGGTCATCGGTCATCGTGAGCTATAGCGAGTCCTTGTCGTTCCTTTTGATTCACGTAGGTCGCATTTATTTAATGTCTATCTCATAGAACAATCTTAAATATAATTAAGCTCGTTAAGTGCTATATACATTAGTGACGTTCAGACGTCTACTAACTCTTTAACGTTTCTCTCCGACAAATCGGCGATCGCGATCGGCTTCTTAATTATTTATTTATAATGGCTGTATGTACATTATCGACGTTGATTACATCGATGATTAGTAACAACATTCGTATACTATTACTTCGTGGAGCCGTTGCCGGCAATTAAATTGTTAAACACCGACTCGATCTCGATAGTCGAAGACTCGTGAGACTCTGTGGTAAATCGGTCATCGTAACGATAATTGAACTCGCTCTCGATTGGCAAAGTGGACCGCTCAACACCCTGACGAATTTCGTTGGCAGATTCGTTGTCGTCGATACCAATCACCGAAACTGACAACGGAGTCGTTGGAGGAAACTGATCCGCTGGTATTCTCGTGGTAGATGTTAGCGATGAGTACTTGGTCTTGATGAGAATCTTCTGTCGCTCCGTGGTGCCGGACTCCGCTACCGAGGTCACCAATCTAGTGACGGATGGTTTTACCGTCGTGGTACGCATATTATATGGATCAATTAAGTTTTGCGAGTCAAAAAGATCGTTGCTTCTTGGCGTCGTTGTTCTCAGTGACTGCTGCTTCCGATGGAAGGCATCCGCAGCGTAGTCAAATTTTTTCGCCGGTATCAAGGTCTCTGTGACTGCCGCCTCCGTACTGGTCGATGACGTTCGTTTTGGATACGAACGCGTTCTGAAATATTGCCAGGTACTCGTGGATTCCAGATTTGGTTGCGTAGTTTTCTCCTCGATTTTAACGTTGTTCCGATCTCGAATCTTATAACGCGGCTGCCGGAAGCTGGATTGTCTCAGCCTGGCCTCTCTCGTTTCTGGTGTCTCCTCGGATTCTTCAGGCGCAGAGTCTAACGGAGGATATCGCCTGGGCGATAAAGCTTCTTCGGGATCGAATGGCCTTTTCAGAATTATGGGAATCTTGTATCGCGGCCGAATCTCGGATCGGCGAGTGGTAATCGATGTTGATCGAGACGTATTATTTTCTGCAAATTCTGTTCTCGCGTCTTTACGGTCTTCAACGTTCTCGATATGAACTGAAGGATAGTTTATTTGGCCTTTTAACGAAGTTGTGGTATAATGTTTCCAGAATTCCGCGGCGTTATCCGAAAAACCATTTGTCGAAACCGACTTGCTTCTCAGGGTCGTATCTTCTATAATGTCTTGTGTAGCCAAATCACGGGATCTGCTCTCTATACTCTTTTCTTTTCCTTCTTCTTTCTCGTCCTGATATTTAAGGTCATCGTAAAGTGTGCTAGAAGAAACTGGATTACGTCGAATAAATAAGTTGTTCTTGCGTTTTTGGGAAATCTCGAGGCTACTATTTTCCGTTGATGATAACGCGGGAGGATATCGATTGGTCGCGTTTTCCGAAGATGACACAGGACTCTTGCGAATAAACTTCTTATGCGCGTACCTTGATTCGAAGTTCGATCTTTCGGCTGATAATGAATCTGATTCCGTTGTAAATGGTGTAGTAGTTATTTGCGCACGAGTGGTGGCTGAATCTGAATTCAACGTGGGTAAAGTAGTGATTATTTGAACACGAGTAGTGGATAAATTCTCAGTCTCGGTAAACGGTACAGTATCTTGTAGAAACACGTTGCTTTCAGTGTTGTAAGTCGTAGCTGTCGCCAATGTTGATTCCATCGTAGTAGTTTCAGTACCCATTTCAATCGTTGATTGACGATTCTCGTCAGCATGTGAATTAATCGTTGATACAGTGGCAGTGCTGAAAATATCTGTAATTTCTTCGCTTGATATCGTCGTGGTTTCCATCGCAGGAGTTTCCAAAGTAACTTTCGTGAAACCATCAGCGTTGTAATCGGTGGACAAGGTAGTTTCCGTGATAGTTACAGTTGAATCTTCCATTTCTCTTGTAAATCCGGTTAGACCGGCAGCGATCGTTGATTTTTCAGTATTTTGACTCGTTGGAACAACTTCTGTCTGATTAATAGTAGCTGTCAATTTTTCGACATTCTTATCACTTCCCATTGGAGTCGTCGATTCTAAAAGAAGACTCAAATCTTTTTCTTGTTTGAGAGAAACTTCAACCGATGTTGCTGAAGTATCTTGAAGCGGACGTTTACGTTTTATCACTTTTCGTCTGCGAGACACTTGAGATTTTTCCTCTTCTTCTGTTTCAATAATATTGGTAGCTGTGCTCGATGATATCGGTCTCCTTCTTAGGAGAATCTTTCGTTTTCTTGGCGTTTCCGATGTCAAGGTCTTTTCCGCAACATCATCGACATGTTCAGTAGAAACGATTGTCACCAAGTCGGGATTAAATTCGTGAGCTTCGATGTGAGCGGTCGTCGTGGCGATAGTATCTTCGGGTCGATCGCTCGTATAATCTACTTTGTTGCTAGATATAGTTGTCACACCAATTTGCGCGATCGGTTTCACAGAGTAGATCGGCTGGATGGTATTCGATTCAACGACGGAATCAATCGTTGCGGTTGATTGATCGATGCCGTTCAGCAAGTTATTTCTCTCGATCCTGTCGGTTTCCGCAGAAGTACCTGTTCTAGGAATTTTTAACGTTATTGATGCGATATTTGATTTTTTATTCGATTCATTGTTTACATTTTGCAATGGCTCTTCCTCGTTGTTTCTCTTTCTCGTGTACTTGGTCCTGTTATACAGGTCGCGGTTAACAGTTGGCTTTCTGAAAACTCTGATGTTCGTTACTTTATCGTTCTCCTCGTCACTGCTGTCAGATCGTGATCGGAGCAACGAGTTTCTTCTAGAAGTGCCTTGTGTTATTCTAACTATTGGACTGTCATCCAACTCATTGATAGATTCTGTATTGTTGACTCTACTAGGCCTTTGATATCTTTTCCTGACATCATCGCTAGTAGCTGTATTGTCAGTAGTTAAAGTTGTGGTTCTGCTTCTTTCTCTATACCTGGGGCCTGGAACGGAAATGTCTTGCGTCCTTGATCTTGACGTTGGTGGAGTGTACCTACTAGATCCTCTGCTGCGCGATCTGTTAAGGTCCTTACTCCTGGATGTGGAAGCTTCTACGTGTGGAGTGTCCACTTGATCCACTAATTTCTCCTCGGTAATTCGGCTGGCCGGTCTTGTCCTTAATCGAACTCGTCCCAGAACCGGACTGGACGGACGCGGGGAATTTTGCGACGTAATACTCACCTTGGACCTACTCAATGGGGTCGTGGCTGTCGTTGTCGCTTCTGATGAACCGGATCTTCGTCTGGGGAAACCGAACGGTCGCGGTTGAGACACCGCGGCAATTGTCGATCTGCTTGTTAACGTTGCCGCTGTTGTTGATGTTGTTGTTGTCGATTGGCTTAAACTGCTAGCCGGCAACGTTGTGAACAGGATCTCCGTCGCCGAATCTTCCACCAATTTCATTGAGTCAGTGGTGGAGCTGATGTCGGTTTTAGAGCTGACACTAGATGAGTTTTCTGGTGGTTCAACGCTAATTACGGTGATGACCTCGGTAGAAGTCGAAGTGGTCGCTGCAGGTGTCGTAGATAACGAAGCGGTCGTACTAGCTGTTGTCCTGGATACTTCTGATCTCGTCGGTGAAGTCGTCTCGCTGATGCTCGCCGATGAAGGTATTACGCTAGACAAATCTTCCAAAGTTTTCAAAGTGGTACTTCTAAACCTCTGTACGTTAGCATATCTGAAAATTAAGTCAGAACGTGTATTAAGTCACGTTTGAGTTTACGTAGAAATGCATAGTGATATAGAAATATTATAATAAAAAAATTATGTATAGAAACCTAGTTTTCGTTGTTGATGAATCATCGTCTTTCTCTGTTGATCGATTTGTGCCCGAATCATTCCTCTTCTCTGATTTCCTGAAGTTGTTATAACAAAGAAATAAAAGTTTTATTAAAGAAATAAGATAATGTACATAAACATATTGATATACTATCCCAGTAAACAAAAATGAATTGAAATAGATAGAAATAAATTTATTTCGACATTTCCGAATTGGCGCTTTTGATTTTTCAAATTTGAATCCAAAAATAATATAATATGGACATGAATACATCTGAATTTAACATAATCAATAACTCATTTCGTATTTCAATTTATTTGAATTAAAAAATAATATAATAGAGACATATAAATGCATCTTCGGACTCTAAAGCGTTAACTCGGATAAATTAAAATGAGTTGCAATTTTTAATTCATTTGAATTAATTTTCGTTTACTGGGATGATGCAATAGAATTACATGTTGTATATAATAATATTGTATATTTGTAATTTTTCTTTTGTACCTGAAACCTGAACCACGATGTCGAAAAGGTTTAGACGTTTCAGAGCTTGCTTCATTGTCTTGTTGTCTAAAAAATATTAATATATAATATTAATAATTTTTAATATATTTTTAACAGAGTGCAAATAATCTAATCAATCAAAAATATATTTACTTCAAAGAAATGAATGGTCGTCGTCTACGAGTCGGTTTCTCCTCCTCGATTTCTACTTTTTTCTCTTCCACATCATTCTCGATTCTGAAAATTTGATATCATAAGAGATATAAGATAAAACCAATTATCTTGTTAATTATCTTACCTAGACGTCGTTGTGGAAAGTCGCGTTCGTCGAATATTTACGTAACTTGGCGTCACTCGTTGCGTGGACGTGCTATCCTCCAACGGGTTACTGATGCTTTTCTCCTCGGAGGAAGCTACGTCAGTGTTATCATCTTCTATGTTCTCATCGATATCTTCATTTTCCGAGGAAGATCCTTTCGTTACCGATCTAATCAATATCAGAATCATTAAAAGAGGCACGAATTAAACATTTATGAAATCAGCTTTATCAATCATTGATCACCATTTAATTTTCTACTTCTCTGCAGACTTATAAGATTAAGAGAAAACAGTATGTAAATAACAATAGAAATTAATCAAACTTAAATATAATCAATACAAGGATATTGTGTGCTAATAAACAGAGACTGACTTGGATCTTTCGATGGTGATGTATTGAGGTTTCTGCGATCGTCTGAGACTTTTCACTTCGGGAATATCGTCCAAGCCTTCGAATTGTGCTCTTCCAGGTCCGTTCACATAACTGGTTTCTGAGGACGATAATACGGGTCGCTGATTACCAATTCTATTTGCCTGGCGACTCAATACACGCTCGTATAAACTACGACTAATCGTAGCCGGTGTGACACTTTCGCTGCCTGATTTGTTGTCCGAATTCTTCTCTTGGAGTAGCAATTGCTTTTCTAACTCTTCTATTCCGCCTAAAATATGTAAAAGAATTCGAAAATTATTTATTATAAAATATGTTTAACAGTAGAACAGTGAAATAAATCATAAAATATATGAAAAGCAGACAAAAATCATATAAATATAAAGAAGAAATATAAAAGTTATTACTGTAATTGTAGAGAGGTGCTAACATTATAGAATCATCAGAAAGTATCACATTGTAGTTACATCCCAGTAAACTGCAATATATATTTCAGCAGCATTGCAATAACATTCCAATTATATTGCAGAAATGTTAAAATGTTGCTGTAATATTGCAGTTAATAATCTAGCTGTGTTTGCTGGGATGTATATTTAGCAAACTTATACTTGCCAGCTTTTTTTATAAGATCGATGAGTTCTTTGATAACTTTTGGATCCTCCTCATCTTCACTGTTGATGATTCTCTCTGGTTCGCTTGGTTTCGATGTGGTCGTTGTAGTAGTGGTCGTACTTGGTCTATTTCTGGTGAGTGTTTTATATACAAGTGGTTTTGCCGTCGTAGTAATCTTCGGTTCTTCCTTCTCCTCCTCCTCCTCTTCCTCCTCACTTTCCTCGATCTCATCATAATCTTCTTCCGAATCATACTCTTCGGATTCCGTTTTCACAGTCGTTGTGCTATGTAAGTAAGTCGTTCGACTTGTTGCGGCCGTTATGGGCGATTTGGTAGTTGAGACGATCGTTTTCAATGCCTTAGGACAAATTACGTTACGCGGATAATCGCAAGAATCCGCCGCTTTGTTGAATACCAATCCTACAAAAATCCAAAAAGTGCTATTACGTGACGAACGAGGCAAAGATTTCTGTTCTACTCGCGAATCTGGCAATAAATGGAGATAATATATATAACTACTATAATGATTAAAAAATCAAATTTTTTAAATTATTTTTTATCTATTTTTATTTATTTCAGTTTTTGATTTATATGCCGATTTCGTAATAAATAGCTCCATTTTTCCTAAAGTTAAATAATTTAGCGTTAAGTGTAAAAATGTATAAAATTATTTACAGTAAAGTTACCTGAGGGACAAGTAAATTGATGCGCGACTACGCCAAGTCCACTAGGACCACTGTCAAGACACCAAAAGTACTTCTTGCAATCTCGAGGATGTGGGAAGAAGCCTTCATCCTCGCATTTAAAGTCTGCATTAAATTTAGATTATTATTCCAAAACATTTAAAAGCGAGTTTTCGATTGATCAATCCGTTGTTAAAAACATATTGAAAACATGTTCCATGATTCTCACAGAAACTTACCGGTTCCTGGGTCAGGTGTGGTTGGTGGTTCGGGAGTCGTTAGCTTGTTGCTCAAGGATTCGTCGGTCTCGCTAGTCTTATTCTGTCCCTTACGTCTGGACTGTTTTCTACGGGTATTGCGATCGGCAGCAGCATTTCGTGTTTTACTCCTATTTCTATTCTTCGGTCGTTCGGTTTTCTCTGTGATTCTTACGGTGTTTCCTGCACCCTCCGTGTCTTCATTCGATGCTGGATCATACGATCTTCTCGACACCTCCCGATCTTCCTGTTCTTCTTTGCTCGCTTGTGAAATGGTACGGTATTTTGGTCTTGAAGAGGATATACGTTTGATGGTTATCGGAGCTGATGTAGTGCTGCTTCTTCGGTTGCTTGTACTCGACTTACGAGTGTTGCTCTGAGTACTTTGAGTACGGGTTTTTTTCCGACTGTCTACTAACTTGGTCTTGTCAATTGTATTTCTGCTATGCAACAACAATAATATTAATATGATGATGATGATGATGATGATAATAATAATTTTAACACTGTGTAAATAATTAATAAAAATAAAAGATTAAACTTTAAAAAATAATATTCCGAATTACATTAGAAGAATCTACATTTTATGTTTTATATATCATTTAATGTTTTATCTAGATATTAAAGATAACGATAATAAATAGCATATTACCCATAATAATAATAATGTTATGACTTAGATTGCTATTTCTGACAATTTGATATTTGCTACTGATATTTGTTATCATATTATATCAATCGCTCTTTTTTTGTTACCTGTTATCTGTAAGCAACGCTTCTTTGGCAGCCTCGATTAATGGATAAGGTCGACCATGGCACTTGCCACGAAAATCGTCATTGTCTATCGACCAAAACATAATGCCTCCTAACTTCTTCTCGTTCACGTAGTGAGCTTTCAGTTTGACTACGTTCTCGTCATCGTATCCTACCCATTGATTGCCTTTGAAGGCGTATGGTCCCATGGCTTTGGGATTTGGTTCAACGACTTCCCATTCGTCGGATTCCGCTATACCCTCGCAAATCTCAAAAATTGAATGTCCAATTTTTAATTGTAATTATATGAATAAAATGTATTTTTATAAATTTGAAATTTCTATACATGCATTTTCATAAATTCTATGTGTTATATGTTAACGTTGCATTGCGTAATATATATACAATGTAAAAGAAGATTTGTGCATGGTATATACGCGCGCGCGCGTACTTATGTGTTTGTGCACGTATACGTATGTGATAAAATTTACCTCATAATAGGCAAGATAGCCTTTCTCTCGAGTGGCCTCTCCTTCGGTGCCTGGTCCATCCGCTGGCGACCCGAGTTCGGTTGCATCTTGATTGAACAACGTGTATGACCGACCATACGTTGGTATTCCAAGAACGACCTTATCCGCGGACGCGCCTTTCTCCAGGAGGTAAGTGATTGTATAATCCTGTTAGATACAAATGAAAGGCGCGTTATAATTGATCCGATTCAAACGGTAATTATAAGATCCTCACGAGCAAACTCTCACAATAGTCAATTCCGCATCATAATTGTATTCGTTGTCCTCCTCCAGGGGGTACAACGGCGAATGATGATTGACAGCGGGCTCATACGCCGAGTGATAGTCGTAAGAGAGTAGATTGATAAAGTCCAAATACTCGTTTAGCCTGGGTACATCGTAACCCTTATCGATGTACTCGACACCGGCGGGCATCGCCATCGACAGCAACAATCTCGATCTTCCGGTCTTCGAAGACTCTCGCTCGAACTCCTCGCGAAGTTCCTATCAATTCGCAATTAATCACTTTAATTAACTTTCTATAATTCACTCCCCCTTTGTGATTGAAGCAATAGATTGCAATCGATTTTTTTATCATTTTACATTTATTCACGTTTCTATCTGCGAATCTTTAACGTTCCTCTTTTTGTTCGTTGAGATTTCTGCAAAAAATTTCATATCCTCCCCGCGAAGATAAGAAACGATCTACCTGCACCAAGTTGGCGTAATTGTCCTTATCTCGCGGCTTTCCGCCGTCTCTAAACGCCGGATACTCCCAGTCGAGATCGAGGCCGTCAAAATGATTCTGCCTGAGGAATTTGACGGCGTTCTTGACGAACTCTCGCCTTCTCGCTGGATCGGCCACCATCGGTGAAAATCTGCTGGAGCCCTCATTCCAGCCACCGATCGCCAGCATCGTCTTCAAGTTCTTATTGTAGGTTTTCAAACCCGTAAACTTCGCGTATCCGCCTGTCGAGCGAACGTGTTTATTGAAGAGTGAAAGTTAAATATCGGCAAAGTCATCAAAGATGATGTGTTCAGGGTTTGTCAATGTAGTGTAGTTTAACTACTTGAGACTAAACAGAGTACTCTAACTATGTAAGCAGCATTGCTTATACATATTTAAATATAACAGATGTAAAGTTAGTTTTCGTTGTGACTGAAAGTATAAAATATTTTTAATATTTGAGAAGCATTTGACATTTCACTCCTTAATTTTTTTGAAACTATTGGATAAATTCATTTTAATTGACGATTAATTATCAATTAATTGACACTTAATCGTTAAACTTGTTAATTTCAATCATTATCATTGCAGTATGAATACCTTCAATAAACAAGAAGTAATTTTTATTACAACAGAACAACATTTTTAACACTTGAGAGGCATTTGACATTTATTCTTTAATTTTCTTGAAACAATTGAGTCATAGGTCATTATTTATTATAAATTTATGATACACTGATCAATCCATTTTAATTGGCAATTAACAGTTAATTGTTAAAGTCGTTAATTTTAATCGCCAACGATACTGAATATCTTTGAGAAATAAGTAATTATAATTACTAATAAGACTACAACGAGTAGATTGTAATCGCTAATAAGGCTTTATTCTTCTATGAATTGGTAATAAAATTTAACAAGTCTTGTAATAGATATTATATATTTTTACTACCTACCTTTCTCGATATCTTGATACTTGTCGAACGGTTTCAGCGCGTTTTCCTTCGTAAAACCTCCGAACGCGTAGATCAGGTGAGTGCAAAGATATGGATTTATGTTTTGAGGAGAAAATTTTGCCGTGCCGGGTCGGTACACCGACCAATTCGTGTAATAACAGACAATTCTGCGTTCGGCGATTCCTAAAAAAAAAATACGATGAGCAAGGACGAAAAACATATGTACTTTCTTTGAAGGCAATTTTTTGTTTAATTTTTTAAATATATTTTAACTGTCTATATTTATTTTAAACATAACTGTATTTTAACTTCTGCATTTTTATATCATTAAATATATATTAATTATAACAATTTTTAAAGCGTATGCATAAAATAACCATAAATAAGCCGAATCATTGTTGATCATATATAAGTCAGTATTACTACGAGTATTAATAATAATTATATTTAAAAATTACTTAAGTGGACTTACTAGTTGATCACTTAGTAAATATAATACAGTAACTTAATAGACTTAAAAAATTAAAAATGATAATTAGACTATATTATAAATCTACAATAATTTCTTTAGTTGGCGATATTCTTTTGATCTCTTATATTTAGCGTTTTTCTATAATACTGAAAGAAGAAGAAACGAGGTCGTTTTGTTCCTATAAATAATGGTGACTGTTCTTCTGCTTTCAATGGAAGTCCATTGAATGAAGAGATAGCTATGGCAGATGCGTGCATTCTGACACATTCAGACTCGCACTGAGTCGCGAAAAATCTCGCTCTCCGATGATTGTCACCTCTCAATAGCGTTCGCGCGTGCCGCCGCGCCGCGTTTTCACCGTGACTACTAAATGCACGCGCGGTGGATCTGCGAGATCGCGAATTAAATGCACGCGCGTCCCGCGTACACCTGCGCTTCTCTCTCTCTCTCTCTCTCTCTCTCTCTCTCTCTCGTTTGCATTGAAGCGTACGCTCACGCGCGCACACACTTGCGAGCTGCGAACGCGAGGAGAACGCGTAAACGGCCGCGAGAGAAAACGCTGCCACGGGGAGAAATTGACACGCGATTGGGACTTTCGTTTATGCACGCGAAGAAATAGCGTCGCGACTGCGAATCGCGTAGCCGGTGTGGCTCTTGAAACGTACGTATCTCTGACACCCAGCTAGACTTTTTCCGACTTATTGTTAGAAAAAATTACAACCATCTATAAATGTACATATACGTATAATCTATGGTAGAAAATATGATCTGATTTCGATAAAAGCTAATTTAGCCAGATGCAAAATTAAATGTATTCTTGTGGAATTTATTAAATCTCTTTTAAAAAGCATGAATTTATGTTGTAAAAACAGTAAGTTTAAATATTAAATTTAAGATTATATATAAGAATAAAAATTTAAGTGTCCGAGATATAAATTAATAAGTTAATAAAATATATTAAAATCATATCGCTTTACACGTTTCAATATTTTTTTATTAATAACTCTCAAAATATTGTTTTATATAGAAAGCGAATAAAATGTCTAACTCCATCCATTTGTATTATTTTAGATTGCCTTTTTAGTTAATCCTAAAAGTTAATCTCTTCGAAATTGGGATCTTAATTTCAGATAATAATGCTCAACTTTCTGCGTAATTTCGCAATGCAAAATAAGGAGATCTTAGAACGTCAATTACATCAATCAGATTAGATTGTATTATCGTGAATATCATTACAGTTAAGTTAATTTAACTTCCTTCAGGGAAACGTTACGATGATCCACAACAAGTCACGTAACCCGATCGAAAATGGCATTGCGAAAGTGAGAGATAGTATTACGAGACGGATATTGTTTCCCGCCAGCCGTCCAAGCGGTTAATTAGCCGAATGCATGTTTCTAACGAGATGCATGGGGAGGCATGCATCTTGTTGCCCCGCTTCGCACGCGCATAATCGCCCACGAAGGCTGACTTTGACGGCATACCGCGCCAAGAGCCCGCGGTCTCTCATACGGTTTTACACGCAACTGAGCACTTTCGAAGTATCGTCTGCGAATTATCCGCCGTTGCTTTCACCGATCGTGCGTGAAACGAGGCCGAACATCGTGTAGGAACAATGCACGAGCGGTGCCTGCAAATTAAGGCTTGCTACTGACCCTGACCAGGGACCAGGCGACAATTCGGCGAGGTCGACGAAGGATACCCTCGAGCGACGATCGAAACCGATGCGATTTCGTCGGATTTAATCGAAGAGATCTATGCGTTCACGTGAAAAAAAGAACGGTTTAATTTGCGAAATTAAAGGAAAGTTGTGCTGTCGTATATTAACTGTGATATAATAATTGATTTATTGTAGATTATATGTCTGTCAAACCAGTAACTACGGGTAACTCTACTATAAACTTTAAAACATACTTTCAAAAAATAAGAAAAATGAACATTTCAGCAAAAATTTATACACGACTTGATTATCTATAATTGTACAATGTTATTTTTAGTATAAATAAATATATATCCATTTCGAATCCATTTCTAAAATAATTATTTTACACATAAGAGATCTAAATTGCTCGGTAGATTATTTTTTCACGATACTTTCTATTTTTTGTTGATATTCGTAAATTAATGGAAATGCGAAAAACGTGAAAATCATTCAGATTACTTTTATGTGCCTTTTTATAGCAATAAAATCTGGTCTAAATTTATACTGGTTTTAATTCCTGTTGGCAATCCTAAACGATCAATTATCTAAACAACATAAACGTTCGAAAGGCACCATAAAGACGAGTAAAACAATCATAAAAATGTTTATATCGCGTCTTAAGTTTCTAGGAATCTTTCATGTAGATATTCAGATGTATATTTGTATTGTTAGAACGGCTATGTAATTTAAAGAATAATTTATTATTAAAAGACAATATTTGAATTTTTAATTAACAAATATTAAGATAAAGATTAACTTTGTTGAATTATAAAACATTTATTAATCTCATCTCCGCACGCCCGCGCGTCGAAATCTATTAATTTTTTTGTCTTTTACAAATTACTTACGTAAAATAGACAATGTTATAAAATTTAAAAACCTTAGAAGCAATGTCGTCAAATCGCATTTTAATAATAAATACATTTTAATCATGAATGGGTCAAATAAAACAGCAGAGTTAAATAATCGTTACATCATTTCAAGCATAACAGTGTATTCGCGTGAAGATATTATAATAAAAGAATCAAATTCATAAAAAAAATATATCACTTATATTAATCAAAGATTCTGGAAACATATATTGCGGATTAAAAATTCAATACGACATGTATTGAATCTTTAATCTGTAAATCTCATTGCCTCGCAAGGATTGCCGATATTGAAACGCTCGAAATTCTCTTTCACCGCAACAACGCCCACCAAGAGAGTACTCGTAGCAGTCCCACGCTACACGTACATTGGCATTATACAAACGGTATATAATAGTATTAAACCGCGATACATAATAGTGTAGATAATATCGAGCAAGGGACTTGCGATCTCCGCTCTTGCTCGTGATCGCGCGTTTTTCCGGATTTGCCCGTCGAATATGAGAAAAGTCACGGCATGGCTCTATACTTTAATCACGATGTGGAAAGCGCTGTTATTGAAAGCGCGTAGACATTGGCAGGGTAGAAGTCTCCATGTATTATCGCTCGTTCTCGAGCATTATTGTCCATTATGAGAAATGTTACGGCTTCTTCGCGCGATTTATGGGAATGTTAAATATAATCTTTTACGAAGTTCGTAAACATTTAAATAATCGCACGCTAACTAAAAAAACTTTCTAAACTAAAGAACATAAAAATGATCGTTTTTAATAATACGTTTCTCAATTGTATTTTATGTTATTTTAAAACTGTTTTAAATTGTCAGTTTTTATTAGAACTATGCAGGCATTTAAGTGCCATTTTTGACGGTTTTATCAATTCATCTATGTATTAATAAAAAAAATAATATATAACATTTACTTTAAATGATTAAAGATTAAGAACATTCATTAGAAGATCTGTTATACAAAAGTTTCAAAATTATTTTGGTCTTAATTTTGATAACAAATTCTTTGATACTGCAATTAAGAGAAAGTCCGATCTTCTTTTAACAAGAATATATGTTAAGGAATGTGTGCTCATAATTTTTTCCTGCTTTTTATATTAAATATTCCATATTTGATTTTCGACATTATAGAGTAAAATAGAAATTATTGGAAATGAAGGTCAATAAAATGAGCAAATAAAGATGTTGCAATATAATTATATAATTTAATTCAATAATATTAAAGCGGGACGTTTTGACTTTACTAAGTTTTCTTCAGTCGCAAATATAAAGTTCGATATATAATAACTTACATTAATCTTGGTCGGACAGCATGTAACGTTTCTTGTTTGGTGTGAGTTTATAATTATATAATTATATAATTTAATTCAATAATATAAAAGCGGGACATTTCGACTTTACTAACCATAAGTCTTCTTTAACAATATATTATTATATAATTTAATTCAATAATATTAAAGCGGTTTTGACGGTATTAAGTCCTCTTCAGCCGCAAATACAAAATTCAATATAATAAATTACATTAATCTTATTGTTAGTGTTAGCAGAGCACACGTTTCTTATTTGATATTTATACTGTAGTAAAATCAATTTTTTAAATATTGAACACTATAAGCTCACACAGACAAGAAACATTACGTGTTCTCCGACTAAGATTAATGTAATTTATTATATATTAAATTTTGTATTTGAAGCTGAAAAAGATTTAATAAAGTCAAAAGTTCGTTCGTTTCATTGACCTTTCCTGTAATTTTTATTTTATTTCTAAAATATAAGCCAATATACAATTTTACTTAAATAGAGTAAATTTGAATTCAGAGATTAAAATTTTATAGAAACGAAATTCATTTCAATGAATTCGAACAATTTCTAATGAACGTCGAGCTTGTACTAAACGTGGCAACTATGACGTGCTAGCTCGTCGCACATTACGGCTATGTTTCAAAATTCACTGTCAGTGTTGAAAATTTATAGTGCACGTAACGTAAGCGCTATAGATTTTCAATACTAGCAATAAATTTTAGAACACAGCTTACGTTGCAATGATATTTTGAAAGTCTCCAAACATCATTGATAGGTAACTATGTAATTGATAGCTAAATTCATTATATAAAAAATAAGAGTTAATTAAAAAATAAAATACTTTAAACAATATTTAATTTTAATAAACCGCGTAAGTAAAAATCATAAATAAATTTGAGAGTCTTCTACAGTCACGGCTTGGTGCTTAATAAATTATATGAATTTTTCAAATCTATTATTCATTTTTAACTGTGCGCGAAATCAATGTCGTACTTGCAATGCAATTATTAGTTGAAGTTGGAATTTGATCTTCAATACTTAATTCGATGCTTATAAGCATCTTAAAATACTACGAAGAACTTATTGCGAAAAATATTACCTCAGCCAGAGATTGAATCTGGGACTTCCCGACTACTCCCGACTTCCCGGGGCGGCGTTTTAATCTATTCGACCACTGAGGCATGTGATATTTAAATATAAAATAAAAATTTTATTTTCGAAATACGAATCACAATATATAGAAAATCTGATAGACAGCTGATTAATTAAAACAAGTTACTTGGTTTTCGCGGCGATGTGCGAGAATTCACGTATCATATTTTCTGCGACTTTGCAATCAAAATAACATGTTTTTTTTACATATTGTGCAGGCAGGGTACATATATAATGTATACAAAAAATAAATTTTGTACTAATTTTTCTGATTTAGATCGTAACATAGGTAACGCGCCAATGAATTTGCAGATGTTACAAAAAATTGAACGATCAATTAGGTGTAATTCTACGTTGTGTTTTCAAGAGTATCCGCAAAGAACCTAATAACAAGCCTTCGGTGAAACTTTCGTTCTTTTCCTGGGATTTTTACAGGAAAGCGAACGGCCGACCAGACAGCTGGAAAAACTAGTACTTTATGAGAGATCCGATAGACCCTTTCGTTTTCTTCGCGTGTCCCATTCCAATTCGCGCGCTCTCGGTTGCAGTGCCGATTGCTTTCGTGCAGTGTGGAAACGATTATTGTTTCGCTCCCAGAATACACCAACGGGCGCGCGGATAAATGCCGGGGACTCGGATAAATGCAGTTTTACAGTTTGTTTCGCAAGATGAAGTTTACATTGGCGATGCATAAGCGCTCTTTGAAATTTATCCGCCACGCAAGCTGTAATTTATTTTTAATACCCATAAGAGTCATTTTCCTGGTATCACGAAAAGCTTGGCTGTCATTATTTGACGTTTAATACTTTTGTGTTTGATGTAAAATTTTATTTGCTACTACGTAATTGTACAAGGTACCCCTCGAAGAAATCAATGACTCATTGTCAAAGAAAATCGGACTTTAAAAGAATTTCAATCTGTAAGACAGTTATTAAATTTTAAAAATTGAACAAATAATCATAATTAAATTTTTGCTAGGAGAAAATCGACTTGAAATGGAAATCAAAGAAGTTATTGAGAGACGTATGTAATTAAAAAATCTTTTTCTGTATGTAATTAAAAAATAAAACAGTAAAAAATCCAAATATTGTGAATTTTAACAGTTTGCCTTATGAAAACTTACGTGTGTATAAGAAAGTTGTAAAAGACTTACCATCTTGTATCGTCGTAAGCAGAATTCCCAAGCAGAGAATCAGCGACGCTGCTCGCACCTCCTGCAACGGGAAAAATGGTGCGTCTCATTAATAATTCATCATTGCTGGAGACGTATAATACAATATGTCAGAGTGAGAGTCTCGCAAATAATTAATTCATAGCGAGTTCGTCCCAACTTTGGTATAGTGTTCGATCTCTCGCGTATATTGGCAACGAATCGGTAGTGAGTCAATGGTGATAGCTGCAGGTGACTTCATCAATAAACGCCAACGAAATATGCAGTTAACATTAGAAAGTGTGCATTATTATCCTGTGATAATATATTACTTAAAAATGAAATAAAGTTAAGGGATATAAAAATAATCTAACAACAAATGGTGAAAAACTTTCACTCACATTAAGCTAACATTAAATTAAAAGTTATGAATGTATAAATACACATATGTACATATATAAAATATGTATAAATATAATATATGTATATTTATATTATCTATATTATGAGCATAAATGTATAAAGTAATATGTACATATATACATAAATTAAAATCTTTTTGTACACGTTCGAAATATTTTACAAGTTTAAATGACAAGCATACATTCTAAGAATTAAATAATTAAATGAGCGGTGCATGTATCCCTGGGAATAGAAATTCCTAATTCATTCACAGTGCATTCACAGCTCGGTGAGATTCGTGAATTAAAGTCAGCAGCCAAAGTATAAAATATCCGTCTATCTCTCTCGGGGTGTTACGCGTACGCCGAATGCCGGTTCCGCTTGTAACCGCTTATGTAACGCAGAAATGTAAAGTGCACGACGATGCACTTGTTCCCAACCCGGCTTGACCGGCGTGGCACGGCTCTCGTTGCGGGATTAATAAAGATCGATGATACGATATTGGAACGGATGAATAGCGACGCGCACACGGACTATGCGGACGACCTCACTGTTCGTTACATAATGGGCGTGTAAAGAGAAAGCAAGAAGAAAGAACGCGGCGCGACTTTCTCGCGGTGCGTTTCGGGCGGCGAGTTTCGCGTTACGTTAACGTACCGTTATACGTTACGCCGCTCGCCATCGTGATAACAATTAACGCGCCTCTGTGGACTCTGGGCGTTTAATGAGACGGACAGAGAGATCCCGGGCCGGTCTCTCGCGGAAGATAGCCGCGAGCGCGATGACTTATTAGTTGGATTACGGTGAAACGTGCACACGCCCCTTGAGTATATTGGAAACTACCGGATGTCCTTTTGATATTAAACAAGAAATTAAGAGCGATTGCGAGCATTTTAACAAGGCATCGAGGCATAATTTCGGAGCCAATCCATGAAAAGTTCGACGCGTAAAGCCTTCTCAAAGAAGTAAATAGACAATAAAATCTTGTCAGTTTTAATTGTGTTTTCCAACTTAATAGATATTTAACATCTAATTTACGACTAATTTATGAAGCAAATATCTGCTTCTGTGGGCCGAAAACTGGAGATCTTCATCAATAGAGAGAGTCCTGAACACAACGCGTGAAGAAAAACAGCTGGCAAAGCCTAATAAAAGAAGAAGAAGAAGATGTTTCTGATAACTTGTATATAATTTTGCGGTCTCTAATGTATTGTATTATATATGTATACATACAGAAATCAAATCCGTGGTTTCTAAAAAGAAAAAGTGCAATTCTCAGTATACGCAAATTAAACAAAGTTTGTAATTTAATTTATGTTCTTAAGTAACGTATGCTCTCAGGTAACATACATGATGCTTGATAATATACATATATTGTACAAAGAGCCGCACACGGGGGCATGGTATTTAATTAAAATAATTGTACGGTGCAGTGCGAATTCTGTCTCCGTCTGTTCTAAAGTTATAGCAGCATTACATCGCACGTTACATTTCTGCAATTGCAGAAACTTGATAATCATCTTATTCGTCCGCCCGCTGCGAACTGTCTCCGCGCGCACGTGTACCCCCGCGGAGTAATAGCTCGCGCTTAGCGGCGCGCGGCTTAAGTATGCACGCGCGGGGTGGGTCAAAAAACTCCGGGGCCCCTCTAAATGTCAAATAACTTTCTACGATGCCGAGATCCTTGGAAAGTGAATATATGTATACACGGGCGATTCAAGGGAGAGCCCCGAGCGATTACACGTTCGCCTTCTCGCGCCACTGCGTATCGGCACGTACTTACACGCGCGCGCTCAAACGCGCGTCGCGTCGATCGTCCGGCGACCGCGGAGCGGATCGGCGCGCGGTGTGAACACAAGCCGGAGCTGGTCATTGCTAACTTTCTGGAAGTTTCGTAACCGGAACGGAAGTTCTCGTCGTGCTTTCGACGCGCGATTCGCTACCGGCGCGGCGTCTCACCGCTGGACGGCCATCGTTTCCATCGTTCGTCTCTTAAACAATTTCTCATGTGATTTCGCAGAAATATAATATTGCGCTTCGGTGAAAGGATCCGAGCTCGAAAAATCTCATCATTTTCCGTTTTTCGTGATCACAAATTTAAAGATATGCATGTGATTGAATCGATGAAAGAAATTAAATACGTATGGAATTCAGTTAAAAATTTTATTTCTATACGTTATTATTAATTCTTTAATTTTATTTCGTCATATTTGCTATATATTTGTTCATCTGCATATGTGTTCACCTATACACTATAGTACGAATGATATGTTTTAAATATTATTAATTTTTTTATTGTTATGAGCGTTAGCACTATTATCCCAAATTAGATTACCATTCATGAAGAAACTATAACTAAATAAGTTTTCTCCTTAACGTGGAACAATTAACTTTGACCTAGTACTCATATACATATATACGTACGATGCAATGCAGCTCGGCAAATGTTCATTTAACTTGTTTGTGTGTGAGCTCGTCGAGAATAACTTGATGCTTATAATCGAGAAGAAAGGTTCCTACAACGAGTAAAACGTGCAGATATGCAACTCCGGTCGTCGTGGATGCAACATGTGTATTCAACTAGTCACTGGATCCTGGATATATACATATCGGATTTATTCTGCGTGCAGAATAAATATCAGATGGAAAAATCCCATGTCACTTGAATATCCAAATTTATTGACCTTTATGAATATCTCTATTTTTTTTATCGTACGAAGACGCAACTCACATAAAAACAAATTGTTATAAATAAAGCTCAACGAGACAAAAAAGAGAGAAGAACGAAATTATATGTAAAAAAAAACTTAAAATACTTCTTACATTGCATCATCTTCAGCTCTCCGTTTTTTTTCCTTTTCGTTTTTATAATATTTTAAATGTTGATGTTTTATTGTCACTTTATTTAATTAACAACTTTTGCATAATTACGTTTCTTTGCACAGCAATATGAGTAACTGGCAACGTAAGTATACGAGTATTAAAAAATCCGCATTATTTAAAAAACAGGATAAAGAATTTTCATATTCGATTTTAGCATTAGCGCTAAAAATACCTAATATCTACAGGTACATGATGTACATACAGACACAGATAACGGTTTCACTCAATTAGAATAAACGAGCGCGCCGGTATATTCCTTACTATCATAATTATATAATTCATGAAGAATATTTTTTGATATTACGTAAACGGTCTTGCCACGCTGCATATGAAAAAGGAAAGTGATAATAACCGGAACAGTAACGCGTATGCAAATTGATTATACGCGCATCAAGATTACTGAATTTCTGTTAATTACCGAGTCCCGCCCAGCAATATAATGAACATATTTCGCTTAATTATTCGGCTGAGCCTGCAGTATACTAATCACGGCTTCCGCGATAAAATACCAACGCCGTCGGGCCGCGTTCGGCCAATCGAGAAATAATCTTGATGATCAGAACATTTTAGGAATTCGAATTATCTCGTGCGTGAAATAATTTTCTCTTTTCGACCGATATATTCTCCGCAACTCGCGCAGTTGTATCACTGCGGATAAAATTGCGATAGTACCGTTCATTGTACAAATTAAATCGGCCTACTAAGTATAAGTATATATATAATCTTGACGAGTTTACATTTCGACCCTATAAATACGCAAGAATGATCTCCACATTTATTTGTAACAATAATAATGGAAGAATTGACTTAAAATAGCTTCTGAGTTTGTAAGATGCTCTAAAGTCAATCGATGCTCTCTTGAATAATTACAGAATTGTTAAAATTATCCTCGGTATTCAACACCGAAGGTGTTTGACATCAATATGAAAGTTAAGGATCGAAAGTCGATGATGTTTCGTATTAGAACGGTTATGACATTTCCTTATTTTATCCTCAGCGAGTGATAATTGCAATCTGTGATTAGGAATACATATAGTTACAGCCGAGATCATCAAATCGACCTCAACCTTTCGCAACCTTTCAAGAATCCTTTCGAACGTGGAGTTTCATCGCGACGTCGAGCTTTTACTATCCGGGTGCGTTTCACTCGGACAAAGGTAGATTTATTGACTCTAGGTTTCAAACCTGAACAACGTTCAAAATATGTGATACACCACACATCGACATCGTGATATTTTTTCAAATATCGCGAAAGATCGAGTGGACCAATTAACTGATGTAGCCGAGAGATGAAGAGGAAAATTTCTCTTCGGGCTCTTCGGTAGTTAACGAGTTAATTCTTCCCATAACTTTCGAAGAGGAAGCAGCGTTCGAGCTCTTCTCTCCATTTACACACCTCGACGTAGCGTTGTATCCTTTTTCGGATCTCGCGAACGATAATCTTGCTGGTAGCAACGCCAATCAGTGCTATAATTTATCGAAGTGACGGCTAGTAATCGTTTCGATAATAAACGATATCGGACTTTATTACACATTAAATTGCTCATTATCGATAGAAGCTATAAACATCTCCAGATTAAAGAACAATATGGTCTAATGTTTCAGAAAGTACAATGTTGTGTAAGTGATGTAAAAATATTTTTCGTGCCTTTTTCGTTTTTTAATAAGTAAATAAATTATGTTTTTGTGTGCGTGATGCGCGCGCGCGCGCCCTTCTTTTTATCGTTAGTTTAATATCTGTCGGTTAATATTTTTTCAAAATAATACCTATATCTCATC